TCTTTCCTTCTTCTCTCTCTCTCTCTCTCTCTCTCTCTCTCTCTCTCTCTCTATGTATCTCTCATTTATTTCTCTCTCTCTTATTTCGCTTCCGCGATCTATAATGTCCCTGACTTTAATGCAGCCGCGGTTTCACCGGAGTTTTGTTCATTGTCGGATAACGTCCGCGTCTGACAATGATAATCGCTCGACGTCACGCGAGTTTAATACATTACGCGATGAGGTAGTATCGCGTTGCAGCCGCGTGAATAGCGCACGGTAGAACTAATGCGGGGAATAATCGCGATACGATCCACGTTGCCTTACGTCGGGGCACGTCGGGGCGGAACGTAAAACGCTACCCCGTGACGTCGTCCGATATCGCTCGCATTTGACGAAACAAACGTCTCGATCGTTAAAACGAGAGAGATTTGCATATTTACTGCGATCGATGCCAGCCACGATACGAATTGCATCTCGTATCGCGTGACGCGATCGCAAAGCTATTAGTTCGTTAGCCAGCCTCTGCCTACTACCTGGGTATACCGTTTTTTATTATTACGTCAGCGAGTTGATATTAAACTGCAAATTTCTGCTTATGTACTCGTGCATTGATTTTTACCGAGCGCCGAGCGAAAAACACGACGAGGGAATAAAAAAGTCTGCGATATCAAATCCGTATTACGGAGCAACAAGCTTTCACGTTGCTTCAAACTCGATGGTCGTTAGGTGCATCGATGGGACCGTGGAGGGTCTTGAGACAATCCAGGTACCGTAGGAAGGTACGTTCAGGACAATAACCATTAAAGTTCTACGTGAACTCTACTCTGAGAATTGCTGGTCCACTTCCCTTAGCCTACGGAGTATTATCGATACTTTCTACCTTTCATCAACCTTAATTAACGAAAGTTAGATCTACAAAATACAAGTAGAGAGCTGGTACCATAAAATATATGCAAAGGTGTGTGACGTATATGGCGAAGGATGTATGTGAAAAATAAATGCGCATCTACTATTTCACGGGATAGCAAATAACGTCAAAACTCGTGATGACGTGAATTATCATATTTTATTTATTAATCAAAAAAATAAGGCAAGTTATTTATATAACTAACCGAATGAAATTTTTTTTCGTTGTCGTAAGGACGCATTTATTCATTTTAAATGTGTAATTTCATGTCGCGAAATATAAAACGTGCTTGGTTAAAATATTTGATTTGTCAGAGTGAATGTAAAAATTTGATGGGCGAGAATTTTTAAAACGATGAACCAAACTGAAAATGTTTATGAAATATATATCCTTACTGATACTAAACCACTAAGCTACCCGTAGGTAAATCCATAACTTCTTTTCCTCGATGCCAGAAAAATAGGACAAATGCATTTATTCGATGCGTTGTTTTATACTGAAAGTGATGTTGGAATTTATTTATTACAATCAGTAGTCTTAAATATTACATAATAATAAAGAAGATAATACATTCATTCATTCGTTTCTTCAGATTAAATAAATTACATAAATGACAAAAATACATATGAAATAGAAGTATATGACTACGCAAACAAGAGAATAAAATTTTCGTTAGATCCATCGAATATGAGAGGTGAAAATTCATCGCTAACGAAATCGGGGAGAAGTAAATGACTTTGGTTAGCGCTGCGAGAGGGTGCATTCGCTACGCTCGCTGAATACGTACATATACGAGTAAAAATGGCTTGGTTCTCTCGAGCGTCGTATGCCGATATGATTTCGCGCGGACGGAGTCGGGCGATTTCAGCCGTCCTATGAACTACGGCAATTGCGACTAAATTATGCCATTCGACATCCCGGAATGAAGAAGGAAGAAAAACGCGCGTTCCGCGCCCCATTCCCACGATCGCACAGATGCGAGATAACTTTTCTCCGCTCGGTCGTATCTTCCGCGCTGATCCCAAGACGAATGGGGTCATCCTCCAAGTTTTTCGAGTTCGCCAACGAGCTTGCACAGTCAGGAATAGAGAGAAGAGAGAGAGAGAGAGAGAGAGAGAGAGAGAGAGAGAGAGAGAGAGAGAGAGAGAGAGAGAGAGAGAGAGAGAGAGAGAGAGAGAGAGAGAGAGAGAGAGGAGAGAGAGAGAGGAGAGAGAGAGAGAGAGGAAAAGGATAACAGATATCCTTGAATGGCCCGTGCGTTCTCGTAGACGATTCGATACGAATAAAATAGATCCTCTAAGAGATCTTCATTGGACAAACTTTTATCCGCATTACGAGTCGAGACCTCGATTCGCACTGACCGGAGAATTACATTTTCCTTTTGTCCTTCGACTACCCGCTCGTGAATTACGAGCCTCTCAACTCTTTCCGTCGTGCATAAGAGTGCATAATGATACGCGATCCTGGGTGGAGAGGATCCTGTTTTCCCATCTTTATTTCTTCAATTTTCTCACTTGCATTTTTAATTAGCGACCGAAGTGCGGGCTTTTCGTTCAAGTACGCATCGGGAAAGAGCGGATATTTTCCGCCGTGAATCTCTATATTTCACGCGCGAAAATCACTGACGCGTCAGTTAATTTGTCATGTACACCGGCGGAACTTTATTACAGCAGATTTCTCCGGTGATTTGGAGTTTGTCAGATATTCGGCGAATGCACGGGTATGCTTATGCGATGAATTTTACTGCGATGTCATGCAGAGTTAGAACATTGTCACGTAGGTATATACGTTATCCGTGTGATGCGAAATCTCCTCCTCTCCGCAAGCCTCCAGTTTGATGAAATATTGGTCGTAGGACGCTTTTTTAAAAGAATACACGCACGCGCGGAAAGTCGCGTTAAGTGCCGACAGCCTTGAAAATTGCGGCGTAAAATAAAATTCGAGCTCGTTCGATCCCGTTTGTATTTTGTTCATCTCCCATATTCCTGTCACTCGCTGTCCAAATTCCGCAAAATTTTCTCGTGGAATATCCGCGCGCCGCGATGGTGGCGAAAAAATTACGGCGTTAATTAGTCGTGAAAGTGTGTCGAGTTAATTTTCGGTGCATTCTCCCTCTCCCCCCCCCCCCCATTAAACGCGCACTGTTTTTCCGCTCAAGGGTCGTTAAAGCGACGCGAGTATAATTCAATAATAATCGAGCATACCGGAAACGCTTGTTCATCATCGTGTCGGGAGACGTCTGGGACGGAAACGAGAAGCGAAAAAGAGCGGCAGTGATAAGAAGATGCTCTCGCAAAGAATTAAATACGCTCTAGCTCATTTATCGCGCGAGGAACATATCGCGTTACTAGCGCGCCCCAACTGGAGGAGACTTCGCAAAATCGATCCAAATGTCGTGGTAAATGCACACCTATTTTTGGCGACGATATCCCTTTATATTTATTCGGAATAAGGAATGTCTTTCGGGAAGATTTCGTCACTTCATGTAATACGTGTCGAGAGAGGAAGAGATTGGAATACGGTTTCCAATAGTGCCATTCGCGTCTGCATCCGTCTCTCTGGGACTTGATTAACGGAAACCGTCGTATCTTTAATGCCGGAACTGCGCGCTCTTTCCAAGCGAGCTCGGAATCTCGCGCAATTGAGATCGCGCGTAATAAGAAAATCGAATGAGACGTCACCTGTTCCGAATATATTTAAGGACGTTAAGTACAAGTTGAAATATCCTCCGGTGGAGGATATCAAACGGTCGTTATGAGAGACAGAGCGCTCTCCCCCGC